GAAGCTGTCTTATGGTAGATGTAGGAGGTGGAGTGTATGAATCATTATAAGGTGCGCTAGGGGTTGGATGCTGTCTCCTTTAACATTAACAGAGAGGTCACGGATGTTACCTGAATGTGTGTGTGTGTGTGTGTGTGTGTGTGAGGACTCGCAGATACCATCCCCATTGAGCTGTCTACTGTTAAATACAAGAGGTCACGGATGAATCACCTTGCGGTTCCTGTTCTGCATTAGACATAGGAGGGCAGCACACACATATCCGGGTGTGGTGGAGGATAAGGTGTGGTGGAGAATGAGGTGTGGTGGAGAGCGAGGTGTGGTGGAGGATGAGGTGTGGTGGAGAGCGAGGTGTGGTGGAGGATGAGGTGTGGTGGAGGATGAGGTGTGGAGGGATGAGGGTGGTGGATGAGGCATGGTGGAGGACGAGGTGTGGGTGGAGGATGAGGTGGGTGGAGGGATGAGGTGGGTGGAGGATGAGGTGTAGGAGGATGTGAGGTGGTGGAGAATGAGGTGTGGGAGGATGAGGTGTGGGGTGGGAGGGATGAGGTGGGGAGGATGAGGGGTGTGTGGTGGAGGACAGAGGTGTGGGGAGGATGAGGTGTGGGGAGGATGAGGGTGTGGGGAGGGGATGAGGTGGGTGGGAGGATGAGGTGTGTGGGGAGGAGGAGGTGTGGGGGAGGATGAGGTGTGGGGAGGGACAGGGGTGGAGGGATGAGGTGTGGTGGAGGACAGGTGGTGGAGGATGAGGGGGTGGAGGATGAGGTGTGGTGGGAGGATGAGGTGGGAGGATGAGGTGGGGAGGCCGAGGTGGTGGAAGATGAGGTGTGGTGGGAGGCCGAGGGGGGTGGGAGGCGAGGGGTGGGTGGAGGCCGAGGTGGGAGGAGGCTGAGGTGGTGGGAGGAAGGAGGTGGCGGGAGGATGAGGTGTGGTGGGATGAGGTGGGTGGGAGGACGAGGTGTGGGGAGGACGAGGTGGGGAGGACGGAGGGGAGGATGAGGTGGTGGAGGCCGAGGGCGGAGGCCGAGGGTGGTGGAGGACGAGGTGGGTGGAGGACGAGGTGTGGTGGAGGACGAGGTGTGGGAGGATGAGGTGTGGTGAAGGACGAGGTGTGGTGGAGGCCAAGGTGTGTGGTGGAGGCCGAGGTGTGGCGGAGGACGAGGTGTGGTGGAGGACGAGGTGTGGTTAACAGGAGGTCCAGGTAGTGTGTTTCGCCTAGTGTGAAATATTGAGGAGGACAAGAGGTGACTGACCAGGTGTGGGCGAACCTACATGGAGGTGAGCCTTACCTGCTGGCCTCTGGGGCTCTTTAATATGACCTAAGGTTAGGTTAGGTTACGATGACTTAACGCTTGGGTACAATGGCTTAATTCGTGTCCCAAGTTTCTTTATACCATTTGCCTCTGTCTACCCAGCAGTAATTGGGGACCTGGATGTTAATCGATTTGCGAATCGTGTTCCGGGGTAATGGTTAGCCAGTGCAGTTGGCGAGATGTCCGGTCTTCTCGGACTATTCCTTGACACTGGGTCATGCAACTCGTTAACTCAGGGTGTGGTTGTTGTGTTGGTGACAGCTTCTACACCTTAAACAAATTCACGCCTAGGTGGCCCTTGGGCCGGCCATCCGCGTTACACGATGGGCAACTATTATTTATATTAATACTTGTCTTCGATGAATTGATCCTTGAGTACGAGGAGTTATTTCTTGACTGTGATAACCTCGTACTCAGTAGATCGACACAGTACTCAAGGGGTTAAACTTACACTGCAACCCACCCACCCATCCAACCTATCAACTCACCCTACCACACATCCATCCACCCTTACCAACCACACCCACCCACCCACATCAATATCAGGGGGGGGGGGGGTGAGTGAGTGGGGCAGCGACCAAGACTTAAACAATTGCAGTAAATATCACCACACATTATTTACGGGTTTATTTGGCGGGGGAGAAATCCAAATTAATTTCCACAATGGCGACGGATTTACGACAAAGTTATACGTGAAACTAAACGATTTATTAACGCGAAGTCAGTAAGAAAAGTTAATGATTTATTTCACGCCAAAATGTTTTCTATTAAGAGGAAATAATTATAGGATGGTCTCTTACCTGTCCTTCCCCTCTAGTGGATACCTGACAGGTGAGGAAGGACCGGGGAGGTGATGATGACAGGTGCTTTGGATTAATTACAGGTGTGAGAGAGAGAGAGAAGGAGGGCGCTGCATGGGAGATTCGAGTTCACACGCACACACACATATCAAGGGGTTCGACAGGTCAGTATATTTCGTGCTCCTCCCTCTACAGGTGATGTATTACCGTGAGGAGGAGTCGGACAGCCTCTCCTCTACCCAGAGAGAGAGAGAGAGAGAGAGAGAGAGAGAGAGAGAGAGAGAGAGAGAGAGAGAGAGAGAGAGAGAGAGAGATTTTACTGCATGTCAAATGTTTTCTAAATACTGTATAATTATATAACTGCATATAATTGTCACCACACAATAATAATAATAATAATAATAATAATAATAATAATAATAATAATAATAATAATAATAATAATAATATGTACAGGATCCACTCTTCTATAACCACAGAAATTCGAGGAGAGGGGGAGGAGGTGAGACGGTGGAGAGGGTTAGAGTGGGCAGAGGGGTGAGTGGAGAGGGCAGAGGGGTGAGTGGGGAGGGTGAGAGGGGGGTTAGCTGATTAATCTCCCCCAAGATATTAGCATCCTATAGTAATCTTCGTCCTGAACAAGAAATAAACACCTGTTCTAAATCAATTAACCTGAGGCTACAAAGGTAATTCCACCAGTTGAGCCACGAGAGTTTTACACTAGTTCAGGGCCTCTTATCTCTTAAATAGAAATTGATAATATACAAATCACAAGTGTCACCTGAGGCGCCACTATTAAACCATTTGTTGTAAGTAATTGTTCACTCGACAGACTTACGAACACCTTCATTTTGGTCATTATAGAGGAGAGTGGGAAGTAGGAGGGGAAGAAAGGAAGTGGAGGGGAGGGGAAGTTGGGGTAGGAAGAAGGTGAAGGAGTGTTTGAGGAAGGAGGGAAGGAGAGGTAGAAGGAGGAGGGAAGGAGATGAAGGGGGGTGACCACTGTGAGTGTTTATCGGCCACGCTGACCACCTGAGTAATGGTCCGTTTACAATCCTATTTGCTCTCTCTCGTTTAAGATATTATACCACCATCACCAGAATCACCACCACCATCTGTAACGCATCGCAAAATACACACACACATATTCCTAGAGGAAGATGTCTGAAGAAGAAGAAGAAGAAGAAGAAGAAGAAGAAGAAGAAGAAGAAGAAGAAGAAGAAGAAGAAGAAGAAGAAGAAGAAGAAGAAGAAGAAGAAGAAGAAGAAGAAGAAGAAGAAGAAGAAGAAGAAGAAGAAGAAGAAGAAGAAGAAGAAGAAGAAGAAGAAGAAGAAGAAGAAGAAGAAGAAGAAGAAGAAGAAGAAGAAGAAGAAGAAGAAGAAGAAGAAGAAGAAGAAGAAGAAGAAGAAGAAGAAGAAGAAGAAGAAGAAGAAGAAGAAGAAGAAGAAGAAGAAGAAGAAGAAGAAGAAGAAGAAGAAGAAGAAGAAGAAGAAGAAGAAGAAGAAGAAGAAGAAGAAGAAGAAGAAGAAGAAGAAGAAGAAGAAGAAGAAGAAGAAGAAGAAGAAGAAGAAGAAGAAGAAGAAGAAGAAGAAGAAGAAGAAGAAGAAGAAGAAGAAGAAGAAGAAGAAGAAGAAGAAGAAGAAGAAGAAGAAGAAGAAGAAGAAGAAGAAGAAGAAGAAGAAGAAGAAGAAGAAGAAGAAGAAGAAGAAGAAGAAGAAGAAGAAGAAGAAGAAGAAGAAGAAGAAGAAGAAGAAGAAGAAGAAGAAGAAGAAGAAGGAAGAAGAAGAAGAAGAAGAAGAAGAAGAAGAAGAAGAAGAAGAAGAAGAAGAAGAAGAAGAAGAAGAAGAAGAAGAAGAAGAAGAAGAAGAAGAAGAAGAAGAAGAAGAAGAAGAAGAAGAAGAAGAAGAAGAAGAAGAAGAAGAAGAAGAAGAAGAAGAAGAAGAAGAAGAAGAAGAAGAAGAAGAAGAAGAAGAAGAAGAAGAAGAAGAAGAAGAAGAAGAAGAAGAAGAAGAAGAAGAAGAAGAAGAAGAAGAAGAAGAAGAAGAAGAAGAAGAAGAAGAAGAAGAAGAAGAAGAAGAAGAAGAAGAAGAAGAAGAAGAAGAAGAAGAAGAAGAAGAAGAAGAAGAAGAAGAAGAAGAAGAAGAAGAAGAAGAAGAAGAAGAAGAAGAAGAAGAAGAAGAAGAAGAAGAAGAAGAAGAAGAAGAAGAAGAAGAAGAAGAAGAAGAAGAAGAAGAAGAAGAAGAAGAAGAAGAAGAAGAAGAAGAAGAAGAAGAAGAAGGTACAGTGTTAGACCCCACACACGAGGTACCATCACCGGGTCCCACATTATTAAAACAATAAAACCTCCGACAGATCCTCAGTTTAGTGTCTTGGGAGTCACGATTTATTGAGGGAAAACCCTTGAAGGAGGCGCCATAAATCCTTCAGGACTCTCTGCCACACCGTCAGTAATGTCTTGTTCGTATATAAAAGTCCTAATTGAGTGTACACACCGCCAGGCCCTACAGCTTTCCTCTGACTGTGTGCCACTGAATATTTTACTTGTTTAAATATGACTAGTCCTTATGAGTTATGTAAGCACAATGGTATATATAGTACCTAAGTTGTAACACATTATATCATAGTTGGTCCTATTAAACAACATGCTATAGTAGAGTATAATGTTTTGTTTTGAACTGCACTGTTAACATGACACAATACTGGTATACGTGTCACTTAGGAGGTCATGTCAAAACAATGAGAGGAACTGTGGCCTTCAAGACACACACACACACACACACACACACACACACACACACACACACACACACACACTTGATAAGATTCTAATAACGCAAACTATCATCATCAAAAACCTATATATTGGTGCATAAAGGCGTAGTTCACTCACCTGTTTGTTTGTAAAGTGGATATTGGTGCGTATTGTACGGTGGTGTGCTGTCTGGACGGGTCTAAAGTTGTTGGAGAGGGGAGCGTTGGCCAGGGTGGAGTTACCTTGTCTCAGGGCTCTCAGCTGTCGCATCTACAGCGTCATGGTGACCGGAAGAAACACACAAGTTAATATTACTTCACCAAGACAACAATACTGCTAGATGCTGTGTTTTATTGAGGTCATTCTATATTTATCTTCACAAGAATACTTTTAATGATACTAACCCCCTTTTGTACTTTACTGCCAGCACCTTTCAGTTTAATTTGAACAGTTCAAAACTCGAAACAATTAGGTACCATTCGAATCAGTTTCATAAAAAGCAATATAATTGGAACAATACTGAGACACGCTTCGTAACAGTTAGACAAATATTAATACCACTGATAATATTACAATATATATACAGTAACATTATAAAACACGTGATGCCGCACTGCTAGAAGACTGTTTGAGAATTTATGGGTTCGAATACCGTAAGACACCCATATTCATACCAAGGGCACCCAAACACTAGCAGTACCGCAGAAGGTGACTTTATCCAGGCTAATTTAATATGACTATGGTGACCTATCGGTGTAATATCTGCAAGTCTGTTGAGGTAATCTGATGGAATGATGATTTATAATGAGATGGTGTCAAAGGTCAAGATGAAGTGGTATAATGAGTATATATTATGAATTTCTGTGGGATTAAAGTGCAAAACGGGGCACTACTGTTCACCACAACAGTGACAGCCACACAACAGACAGTGACAGCCACACAACAGACAGTGACAGCAACAAAACAGACAGTGACAACCAAAAACAGACAGTGACAACCAAAAACAGACAGTGACAACCACACAACAGATATACACATGGGGCTAAAATATCTTCCACTCTGTCGTTAATCAAGAGTGAAACAAAAAAATTAAACAAAAAATTATAAAAACGAAATTCGATTTATTTTTACTGTATGACTGAAGACAGGAACATACATGAACATATCGCAGTTTAATGTACTGTTGTTCACTTGATTTAATGAACAAAATATTAATTTTTAACGGAAATAATACTGAAGACAATTTTTTTTTCAGAAGTAAATAAGAAAAACGTTACACTATTTTCATGTGACGTTTATTATAGATGAAAGTCCGGTATATCGAGGGTACCTTTAGATGTGAAACCTTCCATATAACGGATTATATGGTGATGAAAATCCGTTATTTGGAAGTTTTTATGTACTTTTTTGTCCCTTGTTCATTGTTCCCTCCCTTGTTCATTGCCCCCTCCATTGTTCATTGTTCTCTCCATTGTTCATTGTTCCCTCCCTTGTTCATTGCCCCCTCCCTTGTTCATTGCCCCTCCCTTGTTCATTGTTCCCATTGCCCCCTCCTTTGTTCATTGCCCTCCTTGTTCATTGCCCCCTCCCTTGTTCATTGCCCTCCCTGGTTCATTGCCTCCCTCCTTGTTCATTGCCCCTCCCTTGTTCATTGCCCCTCCCTTGTTCATTGCCCCCTGTTCATTGCCCTCCTTGTTCTTGTTCATTGCCCTCCCTTGTTCATTGCCCTCCCTTGTTCATTGCCCTCCCTTGTTCATTGCCCTCCCCTTGTTCATTGCCTCCCCTCCCTCAGCCCCACTCCTCCTTGTTCATTGCCCTCCCTGCCTGTAATGACCATTAACCTTAAGGGCATATAATGATTTAATGAATACTCTTGCCGATGGACCATTTCGCAAGAGTAGGAGGGAGGTGGAGGGAGGGAGGAGAGGAAGAGAGGAGGATGGAGAGGGAAGAGAGGGGATGGATGAGGAAGATTGGAAGGGGAGGAAATAAGAGGAGAAGGGAAAAAGGGAGAAGGAGAGAGAGAGAGAGAGAGAGAGAGAGAGAGAGAGAGAGAGAGAGAGAGAGAGAGAGAGAGAGAGAGAGATTCAAATTCCAAACAACAGTGGTAAAACGATTTAATTACTTTCATTCATAGTATTTCTTCTTCATTCACAACAAGAGCGGAGTGGCCTGGTGATCACTGACCCTACACACACACACACCAGTAATATGTGAGACAGACAGTGTGCACCTTTAATCTGCTAGAGCTGTTCTCGTCTACACAATGGCTCGTTGTGGTAGAAGTATCTCAGCATTATGTCTGGCCAATTTAATTTCCCTTGTAAGAAACTTTTTATTTGGATGATGAATCAATTCTTCTCTGACTAGTGTATAACTGGGATAGTTACTACTACTACTTTTTTTCTTTTTTCTTTTTAATAACGTGGCCTCCAGCCTCCCCCAATAGCCACACCTTCGCCGCCATTTTATTACCTTAATATTTAATATCCTAATACATAAGTAGCTATCCTAGCTGTGTTGAGATAGTTGAGCCGCAGATCTATGTGGTATTCAGTGACTGTTGCCTCATAGTCAATATCTGCAACTGTTGTCGGCTTTGGGGTTGAAGCTCTCGTTCCCCTGAGGCAGAGCAAACCCGACCGAAGGAGAGAGAAGGACAGTCGACATCTCATCCAGGTTGTAACATAACTTCTGGGCTGCTGCTTCTGTTCGGAGATCACCTCCGCAAGTCTGGCGTAGAAACATCTTGCACTTGGTCCCATCCCACCAGAGGTTGTGAACACCAGAGGAGTGAAGCTGCCTTGATCAACGTTCTGAATTCTCTCCCCATATGCCCTTATCTTGTCGTTCTCGTTCCTCCTGTGTGCAGCGTCGAGAGCTAAGTTACGGTGACATACGGCCATGGGATAAAAAATCCTGATGTCGAAGAAGGCTCGCTGTCCCAGCGTCCAGAATCGTCGAGCACTGACGTCAACACGGGCTTCGTTAGATGTGTTTCCAGTCCTATGTTGGAAGATCTCACCGTCCAATGGAAGGAGGGTCGGTTCTACCATGACATCACGGCAGATTTACTTCAAGATATATGCTGTGAGATCCCTTACTTCGTCATGCCTCATGCATACGAAGCCCCCTTTCTTGCACACGATGGCGTGATCAACGTCATAGGAAGAGCCACACACGCATTGGGAGGGCAAACCTTCTACTGGCCTACCTACCTTAGAGCATTGGCATTTGTAAATTCTTGTTTATTGAGACTGAAACCATTTGTCCTAATCGGTAACGTAGTTAACCAGTTCGAGGCGCCCACCTCCTGCGCTATAGCTACATTTTTTCTTCAAATTCTCTGGTACTTGCAGCAACAGTTGCTGCAACTTATCACTTTGGCCGTGCTGTCGTCCTGTCGTAATGGACCTTCGAATCTTGTTTACTTCACTGGTATCCACCTCCCCTGTTGCGTTCTGGGCTATTATGTGGTCCATGAGGGCTGCCGTGAGCTTAACTGAGTTTTGATGTTCAGTGGCAGCAATCTCCTCTGGATTGGTTAGTCCCATTCCTCCCAGTCTCGGTGGCAGTGCAAGGAGTGATCTTTCTGCCGGGGTTAAGTGAGGGTGTTTCACTAATTTGGGAATGAAATTGACACTGATAGCTTCTTCCAGAGGGTGGAGGAGGGGTCCGATATCAGGGATAGTGCGCATCAGGTAGTTCCAGCGATGCTTGACTCCATGGGTGAATGCCGCAAAAGCCGCATGTGGCTCTGTGTTAGCAGTCTCAGACAGAGCTTGGATTTCCCTAACCCACTCATTCACCTTTCCCGTTACGTACTCGGTCTTGAAGTCCGTCTTGCCGATTACTGCGCCTAAGTGTCTTTGGCCATCCTTTGTTATTTTGACCTCACTTCCATCGAACACCTCCATTGCCCGTTCATAATGTTCTGGCTTCACAATGAGGAAGGACTTGCTGGCGTTTGGGTGGTACCCTATTTGTGGGCCTCGTGATGTTACCAAGTCCCACCACTTTTTGATGTCCTCAATTTTTCCTGCTCCTGTAAGGTCATCAGCGTACGCCACTTGTTTGACCTCAGTTGTTTCAAATTTTATTGTGTGTTGGAGCACGGATAGGCCTATTGCATACATTACCATTGCAACAGGGTCCCCCTGTGTTGTTCCCTCTGTTGACTGTATGATGGTATCCCCTCTTAGAGCCTTGTTGTTTACTATATAGAGGTCTGATGGATTCCTATAGGAGTTTTCAACATACGATGCAAAGCTTGGACATTTGATTTTGATGTTGTGCAGTGCGGCCTTGCGGTTAAGTATGATGAATGCGTTTGAAGCGTCCACCTGGAGAACGGCCTCACAATCGCGCTGCTCAAATATCGTTCTCATGGCGTGAATGGCAGCTTCCCCTACAGCTTGTTGGCCGGCACAAACTTGCAGGTTCCCTGCTGCTGCCCTGACATCGTCCTTTACCACCTCCATTATGCATTTTCCGATGATTCGCCTCAGCACTTCCCCCACCCCTATAGGCCTACATCCTGGATTCTTATCCAGGGGAATGAGGCGGCAGGCCGTCAGAGCATGGAGGTGCTGGCAACACGAGGATGCCAGCTTTCTTGCAAGGACGGCAATGGCCGTGCAGAGATCACTTGCTACGGGGCCAAAGTTGTTAGTGCTGAGGATGACTCTCCAACCGTTTGCATCCAGACCTGAAGGGCCTGCACCTCCCTGAGCCTTCAGTGCCTTTTTCCACACCATCCCTCCTGTTATTTTCTCGAACAGGACAGCATTTGGTGGGATATAGTCACCCTGGAACCTGATGCCTTCATCTCCACTTGCAGGGGGATGTTTTTCTTTCAGTTGTTTTAATGTCTCTGTTTATTGGCAGGACCCCACCGGCGGATTCCTCTGTGAGAGATCTTACCACCAAAGACACTTTTCCCACACGCATTTTGTTTCCAACTTTCTTGCAACGTCATCGGTGTGTTGCTTTCCGTTTCCTGTATATTTTAGTCTCTCCTGCAGTGTTCTTGCTTCACATAGGAGATCATCAAGGGCCCCAGTCTGCCACATTGTCAATCTTCTCTTCATTGCTGCCGCATTTTCTTTGTGCTTAGTCTTTGTGTTGTCCTCTGACAGAATAGATGTGGTATTATTGCCAGTATATGAAGATCTAAAGGGGCAAGGAAGCGGTCTTGAGTGTACTCAGTTATGAGGCGAATTATCTCCCGAATCATTTCTTTGGTGGCCGCACACTTGGGTGGTTCAAACAGGTTTGCTGGCGCCCACCTAACAATTACTACTACTACTACTACTACTACTACTACTACTACTACTACTACTACTACTACTACTACTACTACTATCACATAGACGACAAATATACACCATACTCACCATAGCAACGTTGATGTAGAGAGGTTTGTTAGGGATGATCCAAGTGACGGTCTCATGGCAGGCTGGCTCAGTGAGGGAACCGTCGTAGGTAA